TTACTATCAATATTTAAGGAGCATACTCGGTACATGATTCTCATTCGAATTATGTAAAAAAAATAGGTACTTAATTTTTGACCAAATTTCCGTATAAATAAATAAAGTGTGGACACGTTCCAAGTGTTCCAAGTGTGGACGCGTGCGGCGGCGTGCTGATACAACACCACACGCGTGTGTGTGTGTGTGTGTATACCTAATCTGTAGGGTGTTCATACGATGCGTAATTAATTACATAACTTTTGGTTAACTTTACTTAGAAGTTTATTAATATTTATGTTATATTAATTTTTATTTTGTCATATATGATCGTCAAATATCACGTCCTCAAATATCGATAGTGATTCACCAGTCACCCTGTATAGAATGAACTTATAGGTTTCCACCTTTGACATAAAAAAATACTACATTTTGAAAAAAAAATCAGATATTGATTCTGTCTTTAAGGTCTGCGTTTTATCCGATGACCGAGAACCGGTTGCCCTGTAATTTTTCCCGTCCTTACCATAAAAAAATGTGGTTATAACAATTAATGTTTTAAAATCGCAATCGTCAAAATATGTAGAAAGTAAGACTAGATATATTAGAATTCAGAGGAACGAGACGTGTAACTCATATTTATATTGCGCAACACCACTCTATATGTTTGGTTAAGCCAAAGCCAACCGCAAGATGGGCCATGCCTGTATACCGCCAAAACTGCAAACATAGCCAAACACTCAGCTCAATCACTCAAATTAGCCAAATTCGACTGTCAGTGACGTAACAGACGTTATATTTATATGAACAAAAATATAAATACCCTGCAATAGATTTAGAGAGATACTAGTACATTCTGTGTTAGCCTTAGGATAATTACGATAGTTTAAAAGCTTCTAGAGTGACAATTGAATAAATATTTAATAATCATATTATATCATACAACATCTACCACTCTTATTATCCTATTTATTTATTACTAGAAGACCCGGTGAACTTCGTATCCCCCTATAATCAAGAAATATCTATTACGTTTTTTTATTTATATTTTTGGAGTTTACCTGTAAGCCATAAATCTCCGTGTTTTGAAGTGCGACAGAATGGTTGACATGTTAGTTAGTTGTCAAATCTAATGTCAAAAAAAACGTTTGTATGGGAAATAGAAAAGAGCTGTTTTTATGGTTTTCCCAGTAATGAATAATTTTTTTTCTGCTTTTATACCTTCCCTGAACCTCCACGAACATTTCAAGACTAAGATAAGATAAATCCGTTCAGCTGTTCTCGAGTTTTAGCGAGACTAAGGAACAGCAATCCATTTTTATATATATAGAAGATTATTTTCTCCTCCGTTCATAATCCCATCTCCATAATCTACATTATTGGTAACATCTCAGAAATCGTCTCTTGTATCAAATTCAACTGTAAGTTATAATTTTTATAAGCGAACGGAATCAATATTTTAAATAGGTACTACTATCTTTATCGCACGCATTAAGAACACAATAACTTACTTGGGAATACGGCTGCCAATTGGGGGTATAAATTCTTATTTTACTTGAGTACTAGCTATAGTTTACTTATTAAACTTAGAGATTATTTTAATCTCAGCATTTTGTTCATGTTAAAACAACATTTATATTTCTCACAAGTGCTATTAAGTACGAATTTAAATTAGATCCCATATTTTTATTTTATTACGATCTGATACACGCAACTTAGTTATTATTTTTTATACATGTATATATGTAGAAGAAATTCCATGTAAGAATATGCCTCATCTAAAACATGATGTTTATAAAAACCGATGTTCTGAATCAAGATATCGCAAAAATTTTTTGGTTTTAACTTAGACCAAAGTATTACAAAAATTTATTTTATAAAATTAACCATCCAGTAGTCTTGTTATGATGACCGCGAAAAAGCAGACTTCAAATATGTTTTTTATACATTATATATATACATTTTTAAAACGCTATGACATTGGACAAATTTCTTTTTAAACCGCGAGCTTGAAGCTAATTGACGCCTTTTATAAACCTATTTAATAGCTTTAAAGTTTAATTTACCAAAGCCGCGGGTAAAATGTAGTAATGTACTAAAGTTTGGGTATAATTAACACTGTTGATACTAAACAGTCACGAACTTATACTTTAAACAAATAAAGTTTTCACATTATTTATTTAATGTTGTAAACTCTGTTGCCAATGTTTATAATACGAATTAGAAGGTTAAATCATTGTATTTAACCATAAGACTGAGTACTAAAACCTAGTTTTAGTATAACGAAATTCAGTTTTGGTAATATCACAGATTGTTCTGTTATGAAATTGCCTTTGAGTCTATTGTACAGTAGAATACGCTGGAAAAGCTTTTGAATAAACCTATTTGAATAACTATTATACAGGGTGACTGGTGAATTACTATCGATACTTGAGGACGTGATATTTGACGAACATATATGACAAAATAAAAATTAATATAACATAAATATTAATAAACTTCTAAGTAAAGTTAACCAAAAGTTATGTAATTAATTACGCATCGTGTGAACACCCTACAGATTAGGTATACACACACGCACACACACACGTGTGGCGGCGTAGTGTTGTATCAGCACGCCGCCGCACGCGTCCATACTTGGAACACTTGGACCGTGTCCACACTTTATTTACTTATACGGAAATTTGGTCAAAAATTAAGTACCTATTTTTTTCACATAATTCGAATGAGAATCATGTATCGAGTACTCTCCTCAAATATTTATAGTAATTCACCAGTCACCCTGTATATCAAATGTTAAACATAAAGAGAAACATTCTATACAATTTAGAAGATATACTTTATTCATAGAAGGTTTATTTGCCTTTTCTGTGGACACAAAAGTTTCGAGCTTATGTAAGTCGAGGCCCAAAATTTTTGATAACGGTTTCATCGAATTTGATATAAATATGTTATTAAAGATTTAATGGTTATAAAGTCAATGCAGAAAGGTTATAAATAATTGCTGAAATTTATATAAATCTGTTATACATAGATAATAATTAAGATAGGAAACCTGCTTTAAGTCTACATACACAATGTAAATATAAAAAATATTTTGACCTAAAATCAGTTTTACATTTTGCTAACAATACGTTTTTCATTTTCAAAACCTCAAGTATAAAACGTGAAACCTGAAGTTTGGATAACAAATTAAGTATCCATGTAGAATATTTATTGTTATATATTAATAGTTTAAAATATCCTACTAACACAAAATATGTTATTTGATAAGGATAACTAGGTACCTAAAGTACATATTATATGCAATTCACAATTTATTCATAGATATCTAATACTGCATTGCAGATTTCAGATGAATCAGCCTCCCGCCTAGTCTCCCACGATGATCTCTGTGAGAAAGCAATAAATTGATAACCGAGACGTGAGTTATTTTTCAGCTGACAATATCATTTGCATTTTCATTCACATATAGATATATCTGTATATTGAAAGAATGTGTACCAGTAATAAAAAAAGAACCTAAATTAATACGTAATTGTCAATATCTACATAAATGAAAAAATATTAAGATATATATGTGTCAAATAATTTTAGTAGGCCTTATTTATGATAACGAATATCGTTTAAGCGTAAATAGAATTCTGTTCGAAGGACGAGCAACTCTTGCTTGAAATACTGTTTATTTATAAAATATTTACATCAAATCAAGTGAATATAATTTCAAAAAGATATATTTATCTTGTCAAGTTCTAATTAACCTTTATGTATTTTAAGGGTAGGTATACTACAAAATTTGGGAATATTACTGAAGTTAAACGGTAGCCTTGCTAAGGTAAACTTACCGTAGCTCAAACAACAACACACGTGCTGTTTTCGTTTGGTAAAAGAATAAATCCTTATGGCCTAAATAGAAATTTCTCCTTTCTTTTGTTTTAATTAACTTCACAAACAGGTATCAGCAACTTTGTGACAGGCGTCAGTGGGATCAAACAAGCCTTTTGGCTTAACACATTAAATTACGACGGTAAAAATAATTTTATTTTGTTTAGTACTACTGTATTTTAACTTGAATAAGGTAACTATTAAAAGCTAGTAACGTAGCTTAGACATGAAATATTCTTATTTACAATAGATAAATAAGAACTTCTCAAAAAATAAGCACCAAATTATCTACATAAAATATTTAAATTCTTCAGCACCCAATTGATTAACTTGGCTTTAAAACAATTTAAAATGCTTGGGTTATGTGGTAGAAGTGGTGCCACAAAAAATCGATTATGTTGAAGACTTAAAAAAAGCTGTACCTGCAATGTTTATAAACAAGTAAATAAAAAAGGCTTAGATATTTTATTTCTAACAGATTCGAGGAGACGATTTCCTCCGTTAGTTTGAGCTACTTTTCAGAAAAAAATGACTTATCAAGGGCATACATACAACGGAAAAAAATAAACCATAACAGACAGTGAATCAAAAATAACAAAACCCTTAGCAACACTTAAAACGACTTTGATCTATATAATAAAGTCCCTTTCTGGTACAATGCATTACTTCCCCGAAAAAATGCATTGTTCATTAGGCATAATCATGAATATTGAAGTTGTAATACTTCATTCACAATAGTTATATTGAATTGAATGTTTGCCTTTTAATTAGATATGATCTATTAGAGTAATCACAATTAATCATTGGACCAAGATAGCTAAAATTGTGTGAACGACATTTATAGTCCAAAAGAAATATATACAGTTATTGTAACACTTTCTTGTATAATAAACTATAAATTTATTTAGTAATTAAGTCTATAATTGGATCGAATATGATCATTACTACAATAAATACTATACAGATATATAAAATCAATTATATACAGGACGTATAAATGAAAAACATCAATAACTTAATGCGTTACGAATATAATATTATAAAATATTTTCAGCCTATCGAAACATAATCTTAGGGGGTTCTACAATTATTTACATAAATATACGAAAGGCGGTTCTGCCGTCCAGCGGCTTCGTTCAGTCGTCGTGCATCCTCTCCGGCTGGGGGAATCCCCGCGCCGACAGCGGGTCGGGGGCGGGGGAGGCGTGCGGCGCAGGGGACGCGGGTGATGCGGGCGACGGCACCGGAGACGCGCTGCCCAGGGGGGAGGGCAGGGTAGCGTACACCGTCGGCCGCGGCGGCTGGTACGACGGCGCGTACGAGTCACTGCGAGGGTTGTAGAACGGGGAGTCATCGGCGCTACAGTCCAGATTCGGTGAATACGGAGTAACAGCGCCGCAGGAGGGCGCGTAGTCACTCGGGCGGTATGCGGGCGAGACCGGCGCGTACACTGTGCGCCGGGGAGGCTCCGCTTCTGGTCGGTGGTGGGAGGACGGCGCGTGCGCATCCGACCACCGCGCCTTGCTCGGCGTGAAGTCGCCCTTCACGTACAACTGTATCGGCCGACGGAAGCCCTTACTCGCGTGCTGCGGGACGCCCAGAATGCAACACTTGCTGAATCCTACCTCCGGAGACAGGAGATACTCACGGAACTTGCTTGGAAACAATTCGATGGAATTGAAGTTCTCATAAATTGTCGGCTGTGAAACAATAAAAAAATTAAATATTAACCCACTGCTTGAATTGGTTTTACATTATTCATATCAAAGAATATATTTTCCATCATTCAATTTAATTAAATCCTTAAAATTATTTAGAAAAGTGTAATTTTAAAATTTTACTATCTATTTCTTTGGAAAACAGAGATTTGTCTCGCCGGGAATATTGCTATGAAGAGAAGGTACATATTTTTATTCAAAGTTCAAAAGCATAACAATTTTTTAAATTGCAAACAAAGAAAATATATCTTTATTTGTGGCAGGCAATTGTCGATAAGTGTTATCAAATTACACAAAAATATAATGTTTTTTTATTACAGAGAATTTCTTTCTTAAAATACATATATATTTACCGTTAAGCGCTTCTTTTTCTTATAGCTGGCCCAATTCTGAGCCTCAAGAACCAGTTTGCCTCCAGGGCGGAGGTCAGCGAACATTCGTCGAAACGCTCGCTTCAGACCCGCGTCACCCCAATTTAGATGGAGCCATTTTGTTGTAGACAAACATAAGATGAGGTCAAACTGTGGACTCTCAATGCCAGAACCAACTGTTACCTCCTCCCGAGGCACGTAGTTCCCCTGAAAAATTATGGTATTATAAAAATAACTCTTGTATTAAAAATAACTGCTTGGATATATCTTAATATTTACTAAGCTATACAATATTTTAGATTTTCTTTTTTTTTAGTATTCATTTAAGGAATTAAAAAATATTTTAATTACATATATAATTTTATAAAATATTCCAAACTGCATTATCTATATTATATTATTTGTATACTTACAAGTTGCAATCATAGTCTAATCTAAAAGTGTGGTTCATGAGAGATACAAAGCTTATTCTTGGCATACTTGAAAGCATATACTTGTATATGAATAAAATATGTTGCTGATTAAATTTGAAGTTTCCATACTAGCAAATACTATTATTCATTCTATATGTACTATAGTTCAACCTTTCATAATATATGTATGTTTGAATATAATCTCACCTGTTTGAATGTGACGTTATATGGAAAACTAGATGCAGGCTCCACAACTTTAGGTTCGGCTAGCGGCCCAAACATCATAGCCATTGACACAGGGAAAAAGCATTGGCCTTGTTCCTGTTTATGAAAAGATTTCCTATTTTTTCGTGGCTTCTTCAATTTTCTCACTGGCAGAGCCTTTTTTGAGTCATCATCTTTATCAATATTCTCATTGGAAGTTTCTTCGACCTTGTCTTCTTTGAACTTATCACAGTCAATTTGTTTCTCATCTCCATCAACTTTCTTATCATCCTCCTTCGGCTGGTGTGATGGTACTGGTATGAATGATTTGAGATTTTTTCTTGCTCTCCCTGAAAACAGATAAATTATCATAAAAGTATATAAACCATATCTTAACAATCTTGTAAACACTATTGTTTATACTGTAAATACTAAATTTAAATTAAATTGCAAAATTAAATGATTTTCATACCAATAAGCACAGAATCAATGTCAATTCCAACGACTGATTTGGCTCCAAGTGTGCGAGCGACAGCTATTGATATATGTCCTACATTACATCCAATATCGAGTACATCCTTGTTTTGAAAAAGGTGCCGATGCATCTCAAAAACTTGCAGTCTTATATCCATCATAGCATTTAAATTACGATAGCCATAATACCTGTAATAAATTGACACTCATATTAACAAAAAAAAAGGTATTAATAAAATTAAATAGTTTTGCTATACAAAATATTTTTTAAATAATTTTAACAAAAAGATACTATTGTAGATAATTAATAATACCTATCATAATTTCCATACTGATATCTTGAATTTTTTGCATGAAATGTAGGCATTTTTTGATCTTCCGAGAGACTCTTCAGTTTGGTCCGGTGAGGTGAGGCGGGCCGGTCTTGTGTAGCAGCTCGTTGCTGAGGTCTGGCCCTCATCCATGCCCCAGGTTGTGGAACAACTGGACTCACAATCTTATCTAATGAGTCCATCCGACGCAGTTTTTTACCATCCTTTCCTTTTAATGAGCTATTTTCACTATCGCTACATGATCTTTTTCGTGCTTTAGATGTGGATGGTTCGGGTGGTGGTGGTTCCTTGATGCCTTCCTCCAATTCTGGTTTGACTTCTACAAGAGGCGGATTGGATTCTGTTGTGCGACGTCTTAACCGTGGTTTCTTTCTGGGCTTGCGTTGTTGCATCTCCAACCTCTTCTCATACTCTTCATTATCCAAAGGCTCCATCAGATTAAGAGGATCTCTTATATTAGGCGGAATAATTACATCTATCTTTGCCTTGTGCCTTGGTGGGGTGGGTAACGGTGAAGATTCTGGAGTTACCGCATTCATAGCCCTGTTCACATCTTCATCCTGTAAACTATTTAGATTCAATGGGTCAGATATGTTACCACCAAGAAGAAATTTTGTTGGTGGAATAAAAGCTTCCTTGCGTGGCCTTTTGTATGGAAGGAAGAATTTTGATATGGAAGGAAAACTTTGTGCTCGTTTTTTACTTTGTTTAAACTTTGTGCCAGTATGATGAACCCGTCGCACGGCGCTTCTTTCGAGATTGTCTTTCACAGGTAAGTGACTCTTTTTACCGTGTCTGGATTTCTTTTTGGTTTTCTTTGAACATCCTGTTCCGGCACCATCTTTGTCCTTAGACGAAATAGCGTCATTACCAGTGTTAGAAGATACACTAATATTTAAAGAGGTTTCTGTATTCTCAGTGGCGGTATTTTCAGGAGTATCACTTGGCACACCTTTAACCACGTTGTCAACCTCGTTCCCATCATCATTCGTTTGCACATTTTCTTCTGAACTACCCATTTTTCGTTAAAAAGTATTTTACATTATAGGTCTTAACTTTAATTAAAATCAAATTTACCGCCACTCTGATTCTTGCAAAATGTACAAGGACATCCGTCAATGGTGATAAACAGGTCTAACGATGGATGTATATTCGTTAAGAACTGTTTGTATCAGTAAAAAAAATATAAAATATATTCCTTTAACTATACATATTAATAATCTTTGTTCTGGAAAACACAATACAAAATCCGTATACTATTACGAATTGGCCACACCGCACACACAGCAGACACTAATACAAATAAGAAAATGGCAATTTGACTTTTTGTGAATATGTTGCCATACGAAGTTTTTAAATAGACGTAACAGATAATACTACATTGATATATTTAAAAAAATACAAAATATTATAAAATTGTCGTATTGAAAAATATAATGAAAGCTTTGGTATAAAATCAACCGAAAGTAGTTAATAATAATAATAATAATAATTTATTTCAGACCATATTGTAGATCCATATAGTGTTAGTAAAAATTTAACTTAATAAATAAATTGGTTAGTAAATTTCAAATGAAAAGCAATTTTATTTATGTTAAGATGTCACAATTAAAATTTAAATGTTTTCTTGTCTTTCGTTGAACTCGATGTATTTTTTTTTTTGTTACATTTCTGCTTATACTCAATTATATATTGATTACTCAAATTTGATTACTCAAATATTGATTTTAAAATTATAATACTAGTCTGTAAATATGTATAATGATATTTTTCTTCTCGTCCGCCCGCGGACGCGATTGCTGTGATAGAGCCGAAACTTTGGTATAATATAGATATAAAATAATAAGAAATCGCTTGGTATCGAAAAAAGTTCGTTTCATTCCTATAAATATATAATTGTCTGATATAAAAATTATAAAAATCTAGGCTAATTACAATAAAGGTGTTTCTCTAAATTTCGTTTTGATTTTCTATTTTATAAGAATAAGATTAATTGTTTAATAACTAGCAACACGAGTTACAAAGCGTTCAATTTCGAATTTTGAATTGTTATGTCCGTTTTAAACTTGACAAACGATCAACGAAAGTTCGTGTTTTGCTTGATGCAAATGTTTATAAAAATATTAATAACATAAATAAGGGTATGTTCAATATTACTTACCTATAAACGTGTACTCTAATTTAGAGCATCTTTTAAAATATCATACATTAACTGAAGAGAATAGAAAGATTGACTTTATGATAAAATTTCTGTCGATAGTATTAAAGGTTGTCTGTATAATAATTAGTGTAGAAAATAGTTAAGTGAACTCCATTGAGGCTTGTGTTTACAATTTCTATTCATATTTGACGTTTTATACATTTCCAGATGTCCCGGATTCCAAAATATCCAGTTACTGCTGCTAAAGAAAACCGACCAGGAATATCTAACAACCGTATAATATCAAGAACAATCGGAAATGGCTTAAGTGATGTTGAAAAGAAGAATCTGCTTTTGAATCACACTAAGCCAATGAATGGCACCGCAAGCAACAAGGTTGCAGCTCCTCGCATTAAAAGATCTGCCACAGCACCTTCTTCTGCTACTGTTCCCACTAAAGCAGCTAAAGTTGAAAAGAAAACTACTACTGTTGCAGCAAGAATTCCTTCTTACGATTACAAAGCTAGGTTCAATGATTTAGTGGAGAAACACAAAGTCATTAAGAGCGAGTTGAGTGAATTAAAGGAAAAACATTTGGAGATATCCGATGAGTATGAAAAAGTTAAAGACACAGTTGAAAGCAGCGCTTCAGAAAGGGATGCTTTGAAAGAAAAACTGTTGAATACTTACACAGAGTTAAGAAAACACTCTACCGACTTGGAAAGCTTAAAATTAGATTTTGAACTACTAAAACGTGAAAATGACGATCTTCATGGAAAGACTAGACTGTTAGAAGATGTGACTAAAAGTTTAAAAATAAAGACATCTGAATATGACAAACTTAAAACGGAATTTGACGACTTAACTCGTAGATATAAAAGTCTAAGTGAAGAGGCTGAAGCTTTGAGAGTTTTAACTGACCACCTTAAGAAAGTATCCGCTGAATATGACACATTACAAATCAATCATAAAGATGCCCTTGACACTATATCCAAAACAAAATCTGATTCGGAGGCATTGCAAAATATATTAGCTAATATGTATAAAGAACAGAGAATGTTAAGAAATACTGTACAAGATTTGAAAGGAAATATCCGAGTTTACTGTAGGGTGAGACCTCCATTGGAATCTGAATCATCGAAGCCCCTGTACAATCTTAATGTCCTTGATGCTTGTTCTATGGAGGTAGAAAAGATTGAGTTATTAAATTCAGCAAGAAAGGGTAAATCTCAACATTCATTTTCATTTGATGGCATATTTACACCGCATGCATCTCAGGAAGATGTATTTGCTGAAGTTTCGCCAATGGTCCAGTCAGCGTTAGATGGCTACAATGTTTGTATATTTGCCTACGGTCAAACCGGCTCTGGTAAAACCTACACGATGGAAGGTGGTAATGGGGCAGAAAAATATGGTATTATTCCAAGAGCTATTGACATGATTTTTGACTGTATGGTAGATCTTAAAAGAATGGGGTGGGAATTGTCCATCAAAGCTTCATTTTTGGAAATTTACAACGAAATTATATATGACTTATTAAACTCTAGTAAGGACCAGGAGAGTCATGAAATAAAAATGGTCAACTCAAAGTGTTCAGATCTATATGTATCTAATTTGAAAGAAGAAGAAGTGAAGAGCTCTCATGATTTCATCAGGTTATTGATATTTGCCCAACGTAACAGACAAACCGCTGCAACATTGAACAATGAAAGGAGCTCGAGGTCACATTCGGTTGCACAAATAAAAATATCAGCTATTAATGAAAAACGAAAAGAAAAGTTCACAAGCAACTTGAATCTTGTAGACTTGGCTGGTTCAGAGAGTGGAAAAACAACACAAAGAATGGATGAAACTAAACATATCAACAGATCACTCTCTGAGTTATCTAAAGTTATCTTATCTTTACAGACAAATCAGTCTCACATACCTTACAGGAATTCCAAACTCACACATCTGTTGATGCCGAGTCTGGGGGGAAATTCTAAAACACTTATGTTGGTGAATATCAATCAATTCGACGAAAGCTTCAATGAGACTCTTAACTCCTTGCGGTTTGCTACTAAAGTGAACAGCTGCAGAACAATCAAGGCAAAGAAGAATATAACTATGGTTGATTCATAATTTCAAATGATTATTAACAGATTTCTTTATATTTTTTGTATCTAATATAGAGTTTCACACATGATACTATGAATTAAAGCAGTATCCACAATGAGTACAAAAAAGTAATCAGTTAAATAGAAGTGTTCCACCGATTTCATAGATGTTACAAAGCAAATTTACTTACATTACTCTATTTTTACTTTTGAAATGTAAGTAAATATACTGATTAGTAAATAATGCGATGATAAGTCTTAATTTTATGCATTTCTCATAATATAGGCACACTCAAGTTGCACATTGAGTGATAGATTTAGGAAAGTAAAAGACTTCACTTGCTGGACAAACCTATATATTGTTAAATTAAATTTATCAAAATAATGTCTTAGTAATATAATAATTCTGTAGTCTTAATGAAACTATAAATTACAAATTAAATATATTTTTGTATGTATTATTTGTAAAGAAATAACAAGAACAAGATTTTTATGTGACATTGAGATTGACATATTATTAAAACTTACTTCATAATAATACATAAAAAGATTCAATACTTTTTCTCTTGTCCAGTTATTTTTGTTTATTGTATAGGTAGTTATTTAACTTCTTCCATATTTTTCTTTTTTTTTTTGGTGTAGTATTAACAACTTGTATATCTATAATCTATATTACTGTTTTGTATGCCTTGTTGACCACAATGTTTAATGTAGAATGTTTTGTTTATTGACATTGGTTATCATTGTAACTCATTATTAGTAGAATTAGTTATTAATGAATATAATTATCCCTTAATACAATTGACTTTTCTTTTATAACATATTTTTTTACGATTTATTGTCAAGACCAAGAAACTTGTTGACGCATTGTTTCAATAGATGGCGCTACGTTACTATTTAGAGTAATAAACACCAAAACCTTCGACTACGTCTTAAGGGACCTCTTCTAACTTTAATTAAAGTCATTCATTAAGACATATTTCTAACTATTAACCCTCTTCAAGTAATCTTGAACTTATTATATATGTTTAATATAATTTACACTCCAAAAAATGACTTATATTAAGTAAAATACTACATTCATCAAGTCACATTAATCAGCCAATTTTTTATTATATATTATAGATTTCAAGTATTTTTAATAACTTTAAATGTATTGTCAATATTGGAAATAAGGAATATTTAAAATTTGATTTTCTTTGTTTTTCAGAGAATAGACACTGTTAGTGACTGTTAGGTGTTGTTTACTGATTTATATGCGTGCAGAGATCGCATTTGTAAATAATATTAGTGAGATTATAATATTTCTTAAATTTAAAATTAGGTGATAATGACATGGTTTTTTACTCTATACTTTTAAAGTAAGTTTTTTAATTTTATTAAATAATACAAATATAATGAAATAAAAACATTCAAAGTATTAAAAAAACGGTTTTAAGCATTCTTATTTTTTCATTATATCGAAAGGAAAATAAAACAAGGTGTTAAATTTATAATTATAATTAATAATATATTTAAGGACTAGAACAAAATATTGGGTGATACATCGAAATCTCTTTCATATAAACAAACACGAAGGTTCTTCTGTACATCTCTAACCTCAACTTTGGCGTCAGGAGATGGCATCATGGCACTGGGGCACTTAAGCCAAGCAAACGGTTCAGCAACCGAGGAACAAGTCCAATTTCCTCGGTCCAACTATTCAGCGTGATACGTCCGGTTCAATTATTGTTTCGGAAAGTTCTGCTGCCTCTATGGTATTTATTAATCTATCTAATCCGTATAAGAAACCTTCTTCGTGATTACCTTGCTGCCATTCTTCTCTATGTGTTACTTTAACATCTTTCGGCAAGCGACGCGTCTTTGCAAAGTCTATCAGCCAAGCTCCCACGCGCTCATCGTCGTAGATTATGAAAATGCTGCTGCCAACAATCTCATGTTCCCGGAAGAATTCTGATTTTTCAAATAGACTTCTTATCTCACGCAATCGAGCTGCTATGGCGCGTTGGGCGCGCTTATCGTTACCGAGGAACCGAGCAACAGTAGCCTTAAGTTGTTCCGGTTCACGTACTTTCTGAAGGTCAGTAAGTGGTGGCTGGCCGGGGACTTTAACAGCTTCTATGCGGAAGCCTTGCTGGGCTGATGATGAGCACTGCTCACGGAACTGCATGTATCGCAGTTTGGTGACTGCTCTAGCAGCATGCTCTTCTTCGGTGGGTGCATTGGGGTCTACACGTACCATTTTCTCATAAAGGTCTTGTCGGGCGCGAGCGTTGCTAACTTCATCTTCGAGGAATGTCCGGGTTCCCATTTTAACATCCATGACATGTGGATCACGGAACCCGTGGAGGAGGTCTTGCAGTTCAATGAAGTGTTCACCGTCATATTCCAAATCACGGTAATAGCGGGGTATCGCGGTGCGCATGTGGGGGCATGCTGCTAGTGCTTCGTAAGCGTCGCGCTCAGGGTTGTGTCCGGGATGGTCACCCGCCGCGCGACGTTTCCAAACTGTTCCAGGGCCAGCAGGTGCCAGGGAACCGGGGTGTCCCGACAGTTGAAACCATTCCGAAGAACGAGATTTCAACAAAGCATCAGATGCCGGTGCTGAAAGCTCTAATGCATTCTGAAACAAATGAAAATAAAGATAAGTAAATTGATTTTTATATCAATTATTATCAATAAAAATTGCTTATAATTTCGGTTAATTTTTTTAAAATAAATATACACTTGAGTTACTACAAATAAAAAGTTCTTTAAATTAAAGTATTAAGTTTTTAACGAATTAAAATTATAAATATTAAAGTCTTATTAATGATGAATTAACTGAAATAATATAATACTTACAATTGCTAAGAATTTGAGCAGATCTGAGGGTTGCGATGCTGGGCTGGCTGATACTGGTGGGACAGGGGAGGTGTTCTCCGCGGAAGAGTTATTACGCTTCCAACGTTTGAACAAAGCACCCTCACTCTTAACACGCCAGCGTTCTTCATCCTTGCAAGCAACCTGGGAACAAGGGAAATACGAGTTGAAACACCATATCTACACACACAGTTTCACTGAAAACATTTTCACTTTCAAAAAAATATAATAAAACACCACAGTGAGATGACGTACCGCTATTATTTTGTTTGCGGCATAAAGGAGCCCGCCAGGGCCGAGACGGCTCAGCATCGACTGGCGGGAGACACTGTTCATCTTGCTGGTTACGGTCATATTAGAAAAGTGAGTTAACGGAGTACGAACTTGAGTGATGTACAACGCGTGAGCGAACAAGTGACTTATCGTCTATTGCTAGCTAGCGAGTGGTGTCTGCGGGAGGGTCACGCCTGCTTATATAGAGACCTCGGCTTTCTCGTGACGTCTACGAATCGCCCGCGCCCGCTTACCGTCGCGCTCCGAACGATCAACACATACTTAATGTACACTTGGCGCCTCTGTTTTTTTATTAATACGAATTTCGATAAACGACCGCATTGATAATGTTGGTTTAAGGTCGGTTAGACGTCTTCGGTAGTGTATTTATATATCAGTACGCATTTTATATGTAATCTATTATAAAATTTGGTCTTTGTTTAATTTTCGTTTATCAGTAAAGCATTACGAGTTAAATGACATGTTTTATATTTATGATTCAAAAAATATCAATAGTTCTCAAAAAATATGTCGTGTTTGTATGTTGGTTTTTATGAAAATTTGCTTTATATATTTTTTTAATTGAAATGTTATATTCTGTGAAACTTAACACATTTTTATACCAACTTTAACTGATCTCAAGTTAAGCTTATAAAGAGTAATAAAATATTATGCCACACATAGACCCTTAAATCACACATTTCTTTATTAAACTGAAATGTTACAAGAAAATATATAAAAAAAGAATAACACAATTATATGAAATAAATATATATTTTTATGAAAAACAAAGAATCCAAAGATCGATTAAATGTCAATGGTATCGTAATATACGCAATCATAACAATAAGGATTAAACAAAAATACACTAATACTCGTATTATGAAAATAAATGCATTCTTTTATTCAATTTTTAAAAAGTATTTTTTGTAACCATAACAAAAGGGAAGCGAAATAACGAATAACGATAGCCGCTATCAATATTAATTAGTCGCGAAAACATATAAAAAATTACAAATGCATATTTCCGAACAAAAACGTTTCGTTAAATATAAAAAAAAACAAGTTAAATACGAATGATTTATAAGTCATATTAAGCGACCAGCCTACCGGCCTATATCTTAATGATTTTAAATTAGAACCAGTTTAAGTCTAACTGAATATAATTAAATAAATAACTTCCATGATTATATCATACATTTATATTCTATTGAATTTAGAAGTATTATAAAATAGTGACGTCCTTGGTGACGTGGAGTGAAGGCTCGCTATTCTTATATATGACGTTCAGTACTCTAAGTTGACTTTGGGTGGTGACGTATTACAAATATTGCTACACACGTGTTCAATACTGTGATCGGAGTTTATCCATTGAACGGAGTTTATACCTCGTGCACTCAGACATGTTTCCTATTGTCGACCCGCCGTACAAAACGTGACCGGCCCTAAACGTTTGAAGGCTGACTGCAATATTATTAAGATGAATTTGTATTATTGGTTAAATTACGTAACATTGTTTTCTAATACATGTGTAACAGTTAGAAAATTTCAAATATCCCGTACAAAACATTAGCGTTATTGTAAGATGAAAAAGTGTTGGTAAAAAATGGAACCAAGATGATTATTCAGAATTTATCGAATTATAATAAAAGAAATTGTTGTATACAAAACTTGGATTTTAAATAAATTATACCTTTATGTTGATAACACTTTAGGTAGATCCCTTTTTACAGTTTTCGATTTAATATACATATCTGTATATAAAGGAATCAAACAAAAATATTTAAAACTATTCTATTAAACAGATTCGTCTTTCTATTGAAATGCGGGGTTTGGTTTAAAGTAAAATAAACATGAGAGAGAAAATAAATATACGTTATTTTATACAAAATACACAATATAACAGTGATTGCTGGATATAATATGATTTTCAATAGAGATTTCATAGTAAGATGATTAATGAATAGTTTAAGCTTGAAAATGAATCACAATTATTGGAATCTTGAGTAGCTTCAAACCTCTAGCATAATTTTCGTATTTCGTATATACAGTAACAATAAACATTCGTTCGTGGGATTCTTTAAAAAGAAATAATACAAGGATACCTTTCGATCACGTATCAGCTACGTATGCGACTTATGCGAAACGTATTATATATTTCTCTTTGACTAATGTTGTTTACTCTAAGAACCGACTGACCGAATGACCACTTCATCAGGTCAGGGTCACGTCATGAAAGTTACCTTAGATACAAATGCATAAATTGCATCTGAACAGCATTATGCACAGACAACTCGTGGATTTAATGCAAGTCTGGAGGCCGAAATGCATTCTATACTAAATGAATTCACATTTATATATGATTCGAATTAAGGTCAAATACGTGAGGCACTACAAATAAAGTCCGTAAAAAAAAACAGTATCAAAATTATTTCTTTACCACTTTCATTTGAATAGAAAATATGATGAGTATTTATTCGATAACAATATACCTACTCGATATTTATATTCTTAGATTGTGTTCATGAAACAGAATGTATCTAACTTTAATGCATATAAGACTCCGAGGAACAGGACTGAAATTGTTAGCAAATATTCCAGCCAATGACTTTACGAACGTTTGAGAACAGAGAAAACAAACTAATATTTTTACCACATATAATAAATAGATATGACAATAATATGATTAGACAACTATGTAGGTGTCCTATTTATTTATTTTATAAATAACATCAAGAATTTGAAATAAACTAGGAATTTAAACTAATTTAAAACAAAAACTGTCAACGCCCCGAACAATATAACACTTTATTATTTTAAGTTAGCGTCATATTGCTGTTTGTCACATCGTATTACTGAGATGACTTAGAAAATATTTTTAGAATGTTTACTTAACAGGAATCAAATTAGCGCCAAAACAATGTACGTTTGTAGAACGCGTAATGGCGCCGCATGTGTATGCATCCCGTACTTTTCCGATATTTGCAATATTTCTACTGAGGTCGTGTCTGTGTACATCCATATTAAGTTTATTTAGCACCAGCTAATATAATACACCCACATGTGTACAATATATTCGCTGCGGTTATCATATGTGATAAAATATTTAGAAGAAACATATTTTGTGAGTAAAACAGAGCAATTTTCCAGAAGAAATATGAATTATATATTGAGATATTTTTAAGGTAAAATACTTATGGAGCTAATCTCAGTTAAATATTAATTTTGCTATGCTATAAGCGAGACCAGTAGCATAGTACAGAAAATATAAAAATACTAATGGTTTAACTGTTCTTCATCTTGTTTATAGAATCATACCTACTCACAGTACGTACGTAATCCTGAAATATATTTAATAGGTATATCCTTATGGCATGCAACTAGTTAATTTGAATTCCAATTTCAGTATGATAAAAGAATGAAAACAAATTAAGATCTACGTCAATAATATACAAAAAATATGTATTATTGTATTCATGTGCATTATAAAATTATTACATTAGTAATAGTTATAACTTATAAGCGTAAAATAAACCATACATATTTATAGATGCCGTTATATAAATTATCACTTCATGATCTATTAATTTGTTTATGTATGTGGAATAAAAGAGGTTTAAATTTATACTAATTAGATGAACATTCATCGTTAATTCGTGTTATTTTTTAAACTATTTATACATTTTTGAACGCGTCAAACACATTTATGACGTCTGGATATACTTTTTTAATGAATAAAATATGTTCTTGAATTTGGAGAGTAAAACCATTGAATGGTTGTCGCTTTGTTGCTGTCAAAATTAGCCTCATGACGCAGTACATTGTTGTTGTGTCTGCGCAGGTGGTGTGTATTGATTCAGCCGCGTTCAGAATTAACGAACCCCAGTACTGTATGACTCATTATATAAAGATAGGAATTATAAAATATTTTGTAGGTACATATTATTTAAAATTGTAAATATTTTAATTCTATATAAATTTAAATTAAAAATATATGAATAAGTGCATCCTGTTGACTTTTTACAACAGTAGCGAACGGTTGTAGACAACGGTTGGTTGAGGAGCGTGCAGGAATGCGGCTTCAACGAAATGTGAACTTGTTTGACAAACGACGCCGTGATTTATTATTATAAACACTATTATTTCGAAAAACCTCCTCTATTATTTCGTCTTTATAATCTGATACGATTGATTGTGTATTTTTGTTTGATTAAGAAAATTATTGACTAAACCTATACTCATACAAAATATAATTTAAAACTTATATTTGGTGACAGATGACAATAAAATCAATTGATTGATAATTCCGGATTTATTGTGATCCTAAATAAAGGTCAACAAGTTGAATAATCTATACTCTACAGCATGTATATAAAGTTGGTCTGTTTAATTAATTAAAAGTATTACAAGGGCCGAGTGAGCTATCGATGAGCCGAATAGGTGATCAGGACATATAGTTTCTCTGGCTGCTTGAGGATAAATATCGATAAGGTTCGCTTCAATTCGGGGTCGAATGTTAATGATATCGGCAAGCGGAAACCCGCACTGGCGAATACAAAATAAACCGAGTGTCCAAAGCGGAACTCTGAACGCACTATGACTTGCCACTGTTGAGGACACGTGCGCAACATGACGCGTGGGTTCAAAATAATGGAACATCAACCTCTTTGATCTAACAATTGCTTGTTAAATACAAAACGGGAATGAGCTTAGAAACGGTGAATAAAACATTGTGACGTCACACAACCGACAGCGGATAGAATTATACGCAATTAATATACATAGATGAAGGATGCTCGGCGGCCATATTTGACATAAAAAGTTGACAATGGATAATTAAAGAATTACTTTGTGAGAATAATACGACATTA